AAGGGGAAGTCCAAAGCGAAACGAACTTGATGAAGCGAAATACATCCACCGATCAAATTCCAGACCTAGCATATTTCTCACTGTCTAAATGTTTTAAGGCATTGCTGATGTTGCACTACATAACATAAGCTTGTATGTATATAGTGTAGTCGTCCGAAAACATCGTTAGCGCGATTTAGGTATCAATTCTTAGGAATCCATTCTAGATCGTTTCATATTTATTATTACGAGACAGAGACAGCAGTACCACATTGGAAAGGAATTATTTTATTGTAGTAACTTTAGCTCAGTGGTGAGACGTATAGCCCTCCCCTCATTTCTGAAAGGATTTCGAAGCAGTAATCCGTCGCGCTGCAGCAGAGCGTGCTGGCGAACTTCACATGACTTCGAAATATTTTCACCTAACATGCAGTAAATCAAAACATAAAATTGCAATTAACAATTTCATTTGTACTGACGGGGATCGAATCCGGGTTGCTGGTGTACTATAAAGGTAGAAATAGTCGTGTACAACGACTACTTCTTCCTTCTAATATACAAGCAACATAGAAGTACACACACAGAGGCACTCGCGCGCTGTGAATACGTACTATAAGGCTAGCGGTACACCCTGGATGCTGTGTTAAAAAGAAAGAAAGGCATGTATTGGAGCAATGAACAAAATAAAAATTCAGATGATGAAACTTTAATACTTTATACTTAACTACAGTCCATGTTCAAAAATGTATTATTTTCATATAAATTATCTGTAGACTTCAACCAACTCCACGACGTGTCCACTATGTAGCCTGCTTATATTTTATCTACATTAGATCCTTATAAACAAAATATAAAAAATTATAAAGAAGACCTTCTTAAGTTTTCTTATGGAGGGTGCTCCAGTTATGAATTATTCAATTCAACACTAATGTTTATGTCAATACATTTTTTATAACAAAAGTTATAAACGAAATTACAGTCGTCTGACGTTAAATAGTTACTGTTCAACGTAAGCTTAAATCGTTAAGTAATTAATACTATGTAAAGTAGAATTGGTAGTTGCTCTTTATTCCACCTAAGATTTTTTTGGATTTGAAATAAAATCCCATTTGGTTTAAAAAGAAATAAATAAACCAAGACAGGCAAGGACTTAAGAGCATTCGAACGTCTCCATGAATTAATAAAGAAAACCAACGCCCACCAGAAAAGGGTAAAAGAAATTATAATCCTTTCTTTTAAAATGCAATGAGGTGGTTGTTAAAAACGTTTGCGGGGAAATCTAAAATGCGCCTTCCCCAGCAATTAGTGATCCGAGTGAAATTAAAACAATGAGTAGAACGGGGTAAAGTGAGCGAGCACGCGATGAACAGGGGATGCGGAAAGAATGGAGCATTTTTGATTATTTTTATAATACGTTACGTAAAGAAACCTTGATTTATGTAGTGTCTATCATCTTGGAAAGGTATCATATTGTATGTAATACAATATGATACCTTTCCAAGATGATGTTGTGACCAGGATTAAGAAAGGAATGCTTCGGTGGTTTGGTCCTATGGAAAGAATGAATGAGGAAAGTGTGATAAAGCAAATTTATGTTGCAGAAGTGAACGGTAGAGTCGGAAAGGGGCGTCCTAGGCGAAAGTTTATCGACCAAATTGGCGATATATTGAAAACGGGTTAAATTAGGAGTACCCTTAACCGACGAGCATGTATGCTGAGATATATGGATGCCGAGGAGGCGAGAGAGGTGTGTCAGGAATATGCCAAATGGAAGTCTGTAGTCTCTGCCTACCCCACTGGGTGATACGCGTGAGTGTTTGTGTATGTATGTACCTTTCCAAAAATGCGACAACTGCTGCACGTGGCAAATTGTTAAAAATATTGCCCATACTATAATACTGTTTTTATACATCAAGTGAATTTAACTTAAAATCAAGACGTAATAGGTACGCTTACTAAAAGAGACCGTCAAGACAAAAAATCGTAGGAAAGACCCAGCAAATAAGAAGATTTAATACACACAATATTATACTGCCATAGCTAACTTTAAGGCTATTACTGGGTTTTATGTAGACCGAATAAACTAAAGGAGGTCATATAAGAGATTCAAACCTAGAATCTCCAAAAGAAACCTTCGACTCTGACTACTTATTTGTCATATGAGTGACAAATGGGGTCGCTGATTACTTATATTGGTAGCCACAACAGTCCATGGAAATCTATAAACAAATCCAAACAAAGCTACAGGTGTATGGTCTATACTGAGAACAAATAGCTCTATAGCCTTTTATTGTACAAGGTCACTTGTCCTTGAAACTGGTACACAAAAAAACTGCATTGCAGTTTGCAACAGAAATAGAAAAGAGGGTAGTCACATTGCGTTACTGACGTCATCATTTTACACGAACACTTACGACGTTGTTCGGTCTACACAGTATGAGTATAGTACTGACGTTGAATATTGACGCCATTCTTACTATTAGCTTTTTTACAAAATTTTATCTTACTGGGGCTGTCTATTTAGGTTTATTTAGATATATACCAACAAGTGTAATACTTCTGATAGAGTATATAGCCTTTACTGTTACAGTTTACAAAAGTCCACAGCTGAACATAGATTGCCTCAAAGGGAGGATATTTGCCATATTTGCCACATTTGGCAAGCGAGTTGGTAGCCACGCTGTTGCCCATCTTCGGGTTTGTTTCCTCAGTTGCCTGTCACAACCCCGAGGGGTAGTGTATATTAAATACACCGCCACTACACGCCTTAGTGTACAGCAAAATTGATTGAGATCAATTATTATTGTGCATTTTTTCTTAAATCTTACAAGAGTTCCACAGAGTAAAGCTATTATTAGGAGACCGTATGGTTTGAATACGTAGCTATTGTAGGTATTTGTAAATACAATAATGATGTATCCTTTAAAGATTGGGTTATTATTTGACATTTTCTTTAAAATAATAATCGTAATTTATAAATTTAAATTTTTTTTTTCAAATAAAAATAAAGAAAACTTATAAATTATAAAATAACGAAATATATTGTTAGTGTTTGAGGTTAGATAACTAAAAAAAATTATCGTTTGAATAATATTAATTTATGGTAAAAAGTATGATATTGATATCCTATATAATAAATTATTATATAAATCATAATAAATTATGACATAACATTTTTAATATTTTCTCCCAGGGTTGACTGGTAGATGGTAGAGAATACCATAGGGCAATTAAGTCCACCAATTGTAACCCTTAGGTTAAGGTCTCTAACAATAAATTTGAAATAAATAAATAAATGTGATACAGAAAAACTTATTAGGGCAGGTAAAGACCGAAACAAGAGAAATAAGCAACTTCATCTGATAATACCGTTTTAATACAATGTTGTGAGTTTATGTGAGTATGAATCGCAGATGGCAGTTTATATGAGTGTAAATATCGAGAACTTATAATTTAATTAAGAGTAATAGGTAAGTGAAAATTTTCCTTACTATTCCGAAGAGCATATCATGTCCACCACTGGGCTAATGTTGGTTGGAATAAAGGAGAAGTTGGAGACAATGAAAAACTCAAAAAAATCTAATTTTGTAGAAATTATAGCATATTAAATTAATTTTAAGATCACAAACACATGCACACGTACACTTCATGGCATTTCTTTATTATTTATTATTTCTTTCTATTTTCTGATATAGAGTGATGTTGATAAAACGTTGAATAAAAAAATAAAAAAATTCTTACGACACCAAAACGTTATGGGTGCAGTATAGCTTCACCGCCTGTGGAGAATAGTTGTGCAATTTATCATTGCACTCATGCCGCGGGCTGAGCAATAACGCTCCAATACTATGCAGGTACACAAATTACAAAAACGTTTGTCGGAGTTCTCGATGAGGAAAACGTTAGAGTAGCTAATGCTAATGCGGGTTTTAAGTTCGAATACAAATTTTATCAGATCTCAACTACACAAAAATTATTGATTTTTTACGTTTAATCTACAATAAGCTATGTAACCCTACTAAATAAACCTTGCATGTAGACCTACTTTCTATCTTACCGGTTAGTCTAGCTAAGAAGCGTGATTAAAGCGTGAATAATTTGGATGAGGCTTTTTGAGATGTGACACTAGTATAAGTAGGTCTTAGGCAGTTGACAACAATCATTTGAATTCGAACTCTCTTGGGCTTTAACAACAGACATTGAATATGTACAAGGTTTTTTAATTGTAAAACATATACATATATTTAATATATATTTATAGGAAGTGTGCATAAAGTCCACCTGATGGCAAGTGGATGTCCCGGCATAGACGTCAACATTATCCTCGATTAAGGCCCAGTTTCCACCAAAGCAGAAAGGAGAGGAGACGAGAGATGTGTTTGAATAAACCAATCCGGTTTCGTTATTTCCACATCTCTTCTACGCTTCATCATCATCATCATTACAGCCCTTCAAAAGTTCACTGCTGAACATAGGCCTCCCCCAAGGTATGCCACAAAGCACGGTCCTGGGCCACCTGCATCCATCGACTTACTGCATGTCTTCCCAGGTCGTCACTCCATCTAGTGGGGGGTCGCCCTACACTTCGCCTACCGGTACGAGACTGCCACTCGAGAACCCTTCTTCCCTTCTACGCTTAGCTTCGGTGGAAATGGATCAAAAGGAGATGTCTCATTTTTCTATAGAATTTGCGAGCGAGCTAGCGGCGCGGCAGAGCGGAGAAGTGTCTAGTCTGGCGGCTGGCTGGACCGGGCGGCGCACGTGCTTGCGCACACCGCACCCCGCTTCCTTCTCTTCGCAGAACCATAGAAATTTAAAAAACAGTATTATATGTATGCGCAGAACTTGTGTAGTCGTCGATAATTTAAATATTGAACAATTAATTGTGTTTTTTCAACCTCTAATTCCTCTTCCTCAAGTAAATTCAGATATAACTTTTGTAATGACATGACGTCTTCCTTTAGTATATAGGACTTGACTGGTTTCGATCTCTCACAGCTCACATCACTGCTACACAAAGCTCACATCTCCTCTCCGCATTGGTAGAAATAATCTGCCAGCTTTGCAGAACATCTCCTCTCGTCTCCTCTCTTCTCCTCCCCTCTCGTCTCCTCGCCTCTCATCTCCTCTCCTTTCGTCTCCTCTCCTCTCGTCTCCTCTCCTCTCGTCTCCTGTCCTCTCCTCTCCTCTCCCTCCTCTCCTCTCCTCTCGTCTCCTCCTCTCGTCTCCTCTCCTCTCGTCTCCTCCTCTCGTCTCCTCTCCTCTCGTCTCCTCTCCTCTCCCTCTCGCCCCTCGTCTCCTCTCCTCTCGTCTCCTCTCCTCTCGTCTCTCTCCTCCTCCTCTCGTCTCCTCTCTCCTCCCTCTCGTCTCCTCTCCTCTCCCTCCTCTCCTCTCTTGTCTCCTCTCCTCTCGTCTCCTATCCTCTCGTCTCCTCGCCTCTCGTCTCCTCTCCTCTCGTCTCCTCTCCTCTCGTCTCCTCTCCTCTCGTATCCTATCCTCTCCTCTCCTCTCGTCTCCTTTCCTCTCGTCTCCTCTCCTCTCGTCTCCTCGCCTCTCATCTCCTCTCCTCTCGTCTCCTCTCCTCTCGTCTCCTCGCCTCTCGTCTCCTCTCCTCTCGTCTCCTTCCCCTCCTCTCGTCCCCTCGTCCTCTCGTCTCCTCGCCTCTCGCCTCTCGTCTCCTCTCCTCTCATCTCCTCTCCTCTCGTCTCCTCGCCTCTCGTCTCCTCTCCACTCGTCTCCTCTCCTCTCGTCTCCTCTCCTCTCGTCTCCTCTCCTCTCGTCTCCCCTCCTCTCGTCTCCTCTCCTCTCGTTTCCTCTCCTCTTGTCTCCTCTCCTCTCGTCTCCTAGCCTCTCGTCTCCTCGCCTCTCGTCTCCTCTCCTCTCGTCTCCTATCCTCTCGTTTCCTCTCCTTTCGTCTCCTCTCCTCTCATCTCCTCTCCTCTCCTCTCCTCTTGTCTCCTCTTCTCTCGTCTCCTCTCCTCTCGTCTCCTCGCCTCTCGTCTCCTCTCCTCTCGTCTCCTCGCGTCTCGTCTCATCTCCTCTCGTCTCCTCGCCTCTCGTCTCATCTCCTCTCGTCTCCTATCCTCTCGTCTCCTCTCCTCTCGTCTCATCTCCTCTCGTCTCCTCGCCTCTCGTCTCATCTCCTCTCGTCTCCTATCCTCTCGTCTCCTCTCCTCTCGTCTCCTTTCCTCTCGTCTTCTCTCCTCTCGTCTCCTCGCCTCTCGTCTCCTCGCCTCTCGTCTCCTCTCCTCTCGTCTCCTCGCCTCTCGTCTCCTCTCCTCTCGTCTCCTATACTCTCGTCTCCTCTCCTCTCGTCTCCTCGCCTCTCGTCTCCTCTCCTCTCGTCTCCTCTCCTCTCGTCTCCTCTCCTCTCGTCTCCTCTCCTCTCGTCTCCTATCCTCTCGTCTCCTCTCCTTTCGTCTCCTCTCCTCTCGTCTCCTCTCCTCTCGTCTCCTCTCCTCTCCGCTTTGGTGGAAACCGGGCCTAAGAATTCAGATGCGTTGTCACCCTTGAGGACTAAGATGGAATGCCGTTTACAATAAAAAGGGTCTCCGGTTTTCTATACTCACCATAAGAAACCCAGCATTATTATATGATATTCTCATAATATAGCTGCAGCCTGGCTCTACCACCTAAAAATCTCTCATATATACGGTATAATACTGTAACTTTAAAAAAGTAATTCTGCGATTCTTACCTTTTTCCAGGTGTTTGAAGAAAAATATAAAATATAAAGTAAATATTTTTACACCCTACTTACAATTTTGTCTTGTGTCGTGAACCTATTTTATATAGGTACATAAATTGCACAAGGGCAAGCATGTAGACCGGTAAAAGTTATTGGTAGGTCTTTAATCCCTGGGAAATTCTAATGCGTAGCCATGCAGCGTCCCAACCAAACGAAACCAAGCCGTCAATATAATCAATACACATGAACAAAATTATAGTGTATGTCTGTAATGTCGAAATCAAAGCCTTTTATCGAGCTCAGAGGGTGATAAATGACCATTGGTAAAAAGATAGAAATACTTATTTTTTAATTGCCGACATTTCGTGTACGTTACAGCACCCATGATCACAGGGAGGAGGGGGGGGCTCTGCGATGTTTGACGTCCCAAAGTCATAGTTAGCCCGGCTACCTTAAATTTTTGAATATTAATTTTTGGTCCTATCTACGCAGAAGGAGCTTACAGTATCTTAAAGTATTGCAGTGGTATGCTTGGGTTTGGGTTTAATTTCGTTAATTATATGGTCCTAAGCAGATGACAGCACACCATCAGCACAACAGCCATCTTCTCTATTGAAATTAGGATGTTTTTTTAATTTCAAAAGCCTCGCGTATCATCCTTAGGAGGAATCAGTGTTATTTTGCGAGGATTTGTGGCTTATAAAATCTGATGTAATGGTGGGGATGATCTTGATCATGTTCACAGTACCTATATAATTTTATTCAATGTGTGGTGTTCGCGTAAATTTAAGAAATCATTAAGATAGAAATATGCCAGAAATATTCATTTTGTCCACAAAACTTAGGGTGTTTTTGTGAAATCGTAAAATTGGTAAAATAAATTGGTGTTTATTAAAAAAAATCGGATATAGACACCAAGTGTAACCCAAGCGAAGCTAGTGCGGGTTCCTAATCATTCATAAAAATATTGTTACGCGCTCAACGTCATACACTAGCGCCATCTAGTGTCAGGAACGAGAGCGAGGGGAGCTTTGCAGAAAATGACATCACAAATTTTTACCGACAGCGCCATCCGAAGAACTAAGTTTCTAGAAAATCTACACTCGAACACTCGTCGCTTTGCGCGCATTTACTTGAATATTCCGGATGCTTCATTGCTAATTTGTATATATAGGCGCTGCAAGATGCTATCGAGGCAGTGTTGATTTGGCGAGACAAGCGAAGCTTCGGAGCGGAATAAAGTGAATTAGTGTGTTTAATTATTAGTGTTTTAAGTTTTAATTTGTGTAAAGTAAATTAAAGTGTTAATTTAGGTAATTTTATCGGCAATTTTTATTGTCACGAACCTCAAGCTCGTAACAATATGTTATTCCATTCTATTCTTGATTTCTTAACGGTGTTCTAACAAGACAAAAAGCAGATGCGGTTGATCGTGATTTTCGATATTCCTCTCATGATTAGTTCCTTTAAAGCCAACTTCGAAAATAGGAGGAGCCTTACAATTCTACTCTATATGTATGTTACTGCGACATCTTAGCCGATTGTGATACCGATTTCGATAATTCATTTTGATTTTTTTTTAATTATCAGACTTAGGTTTTTAATAAAATATTATATACATACATCAGGGTTGGTCACATATAAATTTGGAGAAAAATTTCATCCCTATTATTGGTAAAACAAAATAGGGTATGAAGAAATTTTAATGTAACTATTAAAACAAAATTAAAAATGTGAAAAGATAACTTTTAACAAAAAGTAAAAGACGACTTTAAAGAACTAAAAAGAATGAAATAATTTCACATTCTGAAATCGGTGCTGTAACTCTTCTATACACTTTACTTCAGTAGCGACTTCAGAATTTACTAGGTACTAGAAATAATAGTTATTGTAAAATGTAAAATCCTTTAAAATTCTTCAATTTTATACAAAATTTGTCATTAAGCAAGTTCAAATGTTTTATGAAAGAAAAATTTTACAAAAAGGGTTATTATAATATCAAAGAATACATTAATGAAAATAGCCCCTGTGAATGAGACAATCGCCATCATTGTGGTTCTATAAAAATTTATTTAAAAATTGTACAAACAAAATTATTGTAAAGTGAAATATGTTAAAAAAACTCCCGCTGGGCTTCTTGCTGGTTCTTCCCAGGACAGAGGTTTTTCCGAACCAGTGGTAAATAAAGAAACGACTTTCAATATTGTGTTATGCAATAATCTATAATAAATAAAATCATGCATTTCATTTCATTTAGTTTCTGCTTTTATTTTTTGTTAAAAGCTATTTTTGCCATTGAAAATATACGAGAAGTCTGCGAATTATTTAATTTATGAGTTATTTTTCATAAAAATGTTTGTAATTATATAACTATACCGCGTCGGAAATCGTACTATTTACCTCTTATTTTATAAAGTTATTATAGTTTCATAAACGTTACGTAAATTATCTAACAAATTACGTGAACATACAATAACAATAACATAATCATACGTAATTTTGAACTTTATAAAAGTAGACAATTTATAGATATAATTGTTTATAAATTACATTATTTGCATTTTGGAGGTCAAAACCTATCAATATTTTAGTTAGAAATCGCGTACCCCCATACATTATGATCGTCCATACAAATGTTTTGTGAGTGTATATTATTAAATAAAATAACATTGTGAATGATATCCAGCGCTAGTTATCCGATTGTCATCTGAGATATTTATCGCAAAACCACGGAATCATTGTGAGATAATAAAGGTGAATGACAACGTATTATTCGCGGTTATTCGTGCCAATGCCTGCACGATTCGAGCAATCTCAGTGGGTAGTCCGAATTTTAGGGAAAGGGATCCCACACAATTGGATTTTTGGTTAGGAAACCGGAATAATACAATCGGGTATCCTGAAATCTCTGATTTGAATCGTTTCAAAGCGTTAAGCGTGAATTGGAACTGGAAGGCGTTGAAGTGTTATTTTTCTCGCTTTTGACCAAGTCACCTCATCCGGGTGTTAAGAAAATCTTTCATTCCGACCTCTAAATAGAACTTAAAAATATATCGTTTTTTGCTTTTACTGCATTATTTCTTTTATTCTGAATTATAAAAGCTGCATAATGTAATTATAACAAAATGAGTCCCCTATTTTTATAAAATTGTTACGAGAACATATTCATATTTCATTTAAGGACAAGGATAAAACTAACTATAGCTCAAAATATAGTCTAATTTTAAATTTCAAGTGGATGCTATGGCCCATAGCCATCGTACACATACATACATCTATTCTCGAATGAAAATTAAAATGCAGATGCGTTCACCCCCTGAAGACTACGATAGAATGCTTCATTTCCAGTTAAAAGTGTTTCCGGTTCTCTACACTCACCATACGAAACACAAATCATCTGCTATTTTACAATGTTATTCTGTAAAAGCGTGGTGCTTCCCCATTCAATCTGACCTGACTCTGCCTGACCTGACGACGAAACGTCCACCGTGCTGCATCAATGAGTGTTGGCGGATGTCACAAGTCTACGAAATATTTTTTATTTCATGCTACAACCATAATATAGTTGAAACATGACTCTAACCACGTATAAAATGTTTGTGACGTCCACCAATGTAAAAGCGCATTGGTGGACGTCACATGCCTTCGAAATATTTACTTACTATGTTTTCTTTCACTAGCAAGCATCTGGTAAATCGGCACTTAAAATTGCAATTAACATTTTATTGGTGTAACCACGCTCAAACCCAATTAGTTATGAGAGAAGACCTGTACCCAGGAGTGGGGCATATATTTGCTGTAACTTTATATAAGATTGGTCACATTATTTCTTATATATATATTGACGTTTCGAGCACTTTACAGCATCTATGGTCACGGCGTGGACTGAGGTGTTTGACGTCCCAATGTCATAGTTAACCACGGCTACATTAAAATTATTAATTTTTGTTCCGAACTAGAATTTCTCTGCGATTTATGGCGGCTGTACACCCTCGACGAGGGCCCACGAGGCAAGAGGAGGACGAGAGTGTACAGGATACTTTCGCTGAGCCTTGCCTTCCCTCACCTTGCCTCGCGTGCTCTCGCGTTCGTGTCGGTTTTTGGTGCGCGAGTCAAAGGGCCACGCATTCCCTCGCGAGTGGACACGAGTACGTCACAGTACACTTGCGCTTCGTTTAGTCTACCGCAAGACGTTTTAGCGTGCAGTATATTTAGTTATCCTACTACCACAAACTTACTATGTGGAGCCAAGAAGCAAACTCAGTTTTCTTGAATTTAACAAAGTGAAGCTATTTTGTGGGAGCACACGAGAGTGTACAGCCGCCATTAGATTTTGTGCAGAACAAACCCGTGACCATGTGTACAGTAAAGTGCTTGAAACGTCGGGAGTATAAAATAAGTTCTAAAATCTGTAAAAACTAGTTTTATTTAGAATTTTTTTATTAATAATACCGCGATAACTTGTTATTTTGTTTATCATATATAAACATAATAAAATAAATTTATTTTACATTAAATAAGGCGCAGCGCTGGAACTTTTTTGACATCAAAACAAATTAAGAAGGTAGTACGTCATTACAGCATATGTTAATATAGCATCTCTATCTATCATCTCTTATAAGACTACTTTTGATCTGTTCTAAAAAGAACCGTGTTAACGCATGCACTAAGCGCTCGCAATCCGACCTCGATACAGGCATTGATTTATATATTACACATGTTTTGTGTAATTCAATGGATACAGGCCCATACCAATGACATTTGTATTTGCAATTTGATTTGCTGACGTATTATCTGCTCGTTTCTGTACGTAGTACATGATACTTTTCTTCAGAAACGAGCAGATCGGAAGCCTGCATGAATTTCGAAGAATTGTGAAGTCGACTAACACGCACCCG